GTTCTCTTGGTGAAAGAATGAATGAAAACCTTAAAGGCATCCCTCTAGGGGTCTTTTCCTAGTTGAGCCAAAGCTCTCCTCCTTCCTCTACCCCAGCCCTTTTTCGTCTGTTGCCTCAAGAAAAAGAAATGGTCATTAAAGAAAGGCAGGAGGTCTGAAAATAGAGCAGTACGGTCATTTATGCGAAGCCTGCAACCCCATTTCCGACTATTTGATTGTTTTATTTGCCCCAGAGGCACTACTTCTCACACATTTGACTCCTCTCTCTAAAAGGAACCCCAACTAATCATTTTCCTGTGCTTCAATGCCCTACTCTCCCAAGTATACTTTTTAAATTGAGTGAAAATTAAATCTCATGCACACGGTTTCATAATAACATTTCTTTTAATGAGACCCATCATCTGATAGGACTGCCCTACTAAATTAAAAGTAGGGAAATATATAAAACACATAATCCAGCACATGAAATAAAAAACCTAATTTATTCATTCATTTCACTAGACAATGTGATGAAGCATAATAGGAACATGATAAAAGGAAGATGTGTTCCTGCCTCCTCCTGCCATTTCCTCTTTCCTACTGAGAAAAGGTCGGCGTGAGAAAAACGTGACCTTAACATCTACTTCCAGTAAAGCAAAACCAGTGAAAGCAAATATTTCCCATGTACTACTAATCTGAAAATCTAATTGTGCCACACACACTCACACACATACACACACACACACACACAAACTGTTATTTTATTTCTCACACATTTCCTTTGGCCTTTCCAGAGACGGAATCCAAAAGCACGTTGGTGTGTTTTTCTGGGAAGCTTTGAGACTTTAGGAGAGTCGGCAAGTTCTACTTCTTGCCAACATATCCACTCTCTGACACTCTTCTTGACCAACTGGCTACACTCAACACTGACCCAAGTGTTCCCTATGGCTATGATGAGAGACTTCCCAAACTCCTGTTCACAAACTAAGCAGGAACAGGGAACCCTCACCATTGTCCAGAGCCATGATGAGTCAGATGGCAGTTAGCAGTCCACCAAGGAGAAGAGCCAGAGCAGTGTGTTCTGTAGCTCTGCATGTCTCTATCTGTGCGTTTAGCAGCCATTTCACAAGGGCCAATAATGTGACCAACCATGGAGTACCCAGTCCTAGGAGACCTGACTTGAATAACAGTGATGAGAGAAACAGAAACTAGAGGTCCAGTCCTCACTTGGGGATTCCTCTTCAGAAGGGGCAACTGCTGCCTTCTACTTTCCCAACCCCTCTCTTCCTGAAACACACCCTCCAGATACCATATCCATGCTGTAGATGGAGAGGGGGTGGGTACGAGGGTCAGTGACAGACCCTGTGGCCCCTCCTCCTCAAGGGTGCAGCAGGTCACGCCCCCAACCCCCATCCGCTCGCACCCTAGCCCGCCCCTCTGAGAGTGATTGGGGACATGCCCTGGGAATTTCCAAGTGGGCATGGCTCCACCCTATATAAGGGCGCCTGGCCTCCCGCAAGTCCACAGATCCCAGATAGCAGAGGCGCGCACCAGACTGAGGTTGGTTCTCCGCTAGGCCTTTGAACAAGGAAGGACCCAGAGGCAGATTTCTGACCTGCTCAAGGTCACCAGTGAGTCCAGAGGTTGGGCCAGCGAGTGAGGCGGGAGGGGGGGAGGATTATAGGGGGAGGCAGGGGGGGCGGGGGCAATGGTGCAAAAGAGATAGAAAACCAGCCGCCAGCCTTACCTTGACTCTTCCCGGCATTCCCTTCGCAGGTCTCTGACCAGGCATCCCACCCCCCTGGGTCCCGAGGCTTCCCGGGCCCGCCATGGCCGACAAAATGGACATGTCTCTGGACAACATCATTAAGCTGAACCGGAGCCAGCGGGGCAGCCAGTAAGGGGTAGCTAGGGAGAGGGAATGGAGAAAAGCCTAATGTTTTATTCATTTATGCTTGGTTTCACTTCGGGCTTCATTTATACCTTTCTCTACAATTGCAACCTGGGGATCTTATTCCATTTCTAATTCAGCCTTTAATGTCCACAAATAAAAAAGGGCTCATACGTGAAGGAGTGAGATATATCAAAGTGGGCAAATCCTCCAGGGGAGAGCCAATTGGCGAGTGCTACCAAGAGGAGGCTGGTGTGATCCTCCAGAAATGTACCATACTAAAATTCAAGTATTCTTTAACTGAAATTCAAATTTAATGGGTGTGCAGCTGCTTGCTTGTTTGTTGTAAACCTGGCGATCCTCCTTAAGCTCAGAACACTCACCCATGTTTGTCATTTTGTCCCATGCCATGGAATGATTGGATGGAGAATAGTCAAGTCAGCATGCATTACATTCCTACCGGGAGTCTGGCTCTAGGGATGATATGAAAGAAGTAAGCTACATCACCCATCCTTGTAGATGTGGGTGCCCAGAGGACTTCACAGGATCTTACACTCCGGAAATTTTGCAGGTGCTTGGGAAGTGAGTGATACTGTGAGGCTCTCGTGAGAACGCTACAAGAGGGTGTGTGGGAAACAATAGTTAGAGATCACAGTGATTTCAGGTTGTCTTGAGCTGGATGATGGTGGTAATTGTTTCTAATGGAAGAAAAATATCCTGCAGAGATAAGAATTCCATTTGAGGGAAATAAGTCAGATTGAACTAAAGAACCATAACAGTTTGGCATGTGTACCCTTGCATTTAATGGATTAGAACCTTCAATTGCTGGACCATCATTCTCTCCTCCCCGCTCCTCCCACCCACCCATTTGGATGAAATCTGCCACTTCTTCATAGGTGGTATCCAAGCTCTGATGAGGCCAGCATCAGTCTGAGGAGAGGTCATCACCCAGGGTTTCAGGCCCAACAATGTTGGTACCATACTGCTGTTCACCAGTTTTTTTGAAAATATGTTCAACCCAGTAAATTCACCCATAGTTTTGCAGTGGTTCTCAGCCTGTGGGTCACAACCCCTGAAAATACATCCTGCATATCAGATATTTACATTATGATTCATAACAGTAGCAAAATTACAGTTATGCAGTATCAACGAAAATAATTTCATAGTTGGGGGTCACCACAACATGAGGAACTGTTTTAAAGGGTCGTGGCATTAGGAAGGTTGAGAACCACTGGGAGAAGTCAGCATTGTGGGAGATGCGGGGGACAGGCGTTAGAGTCTGCCCTTAAGAAGCTTTTG